TTAATATTATTTTGAAATATGTACGATCTGTTCAGTGCTGAAAACACCACCACGTACTGCAGGTTAGGAAGTCTCCTGTTTATTGCTGTACTCATTCAGTTTGTCAAATTAGAAGAAGAAAGTCAGCATGCAACCCAACCTTTTCAACTCTCAGCCATGGAATAGACTGTCACATCTGGGCTCCCAACTCATGGGACCTTAGGAATGAGATGGGCTCCATCTGACAGTACAATATGAACATATTGGCAAAGAAATAATCTAAATGAATGTTATTTTGGATTACTGATCAGGTGAGACAGAGCCAGAGAGTTGCAGCTGTTCTCAAACCCTACTGTGTATGAGGAGCATAAGCCAGCGAGTCACCCTTGTGCCACCTGAGTGTGCAAAGAGAACAGCCAGAAGCACTCTGGGTGGACTCAGGTACAGAATAATAGGCAAAACCTTGGGGGAAAAAAATGGAAGAATACTAGAGTCATAGTGTTTCAACTCCGTGTTAAAGAGAAGGCGTTTTCTGTCCACCTGTGCTGACGGACGCCAGGCTGGTCTTTTCTCTACAGGTGATCATCCCTGGTGTCTCTGTGTTGTCCACATTTCCTCTTCTTATAAAGACACCACCCAGATTGGATTAGGGCCCACCCATAAGGCCTCATGTAAATGTAATCACCTCTTTTAAGGTCCTATCTCCTAACAGGGTCACATTCTTGAGGTACAAAGGATTACAACTCTGAATTTGAGGGGGCAGTACACAATTCAGCCCGTCACATTAGATGTTTTCATTATCTGAGGTGCGAGTGCCTTCTAATGGCCTTTCCCCGGCCCTGGGCCTGAGGGGCAGATGCAAGTCTCTGGAAGGCACTTGCATGTATCAAGATGGTACCATAAAATGGTTCTCTAACTTTGGAACAGAGATGACTGACGGAATGTCCCGAGCTGTAGTTAGCAAAATTCTTTACTTTGTGTCACCTGTGACAGATAGCAGGCCAAGCCTGATTCACTCCCTTTAGGGATGTGTGTCCACTCCTGTGCCTAGACCCAGGCTCTAGGTGGCGCTCAGTTTCCCACCTGCCAGCAGCACCTCAGCCAGTACTGGCTAACTCTTTGTCAAAAGGACTTGAAAATCAAGTTACCAGTTGACACATATGAATAGCATGTTTTGCTGATCAGAGATTGCCTCTAACACCTGAGAGAAGTTCATTTAATTCACTTTTTACATCGAATGCAATATTAATAGAATAATATGTAGACAGAATGAAGATCAGAGCGAAAGTGAGGAAGTTGATGTGTGAACATAGTTGCTGTGGCTAAGTGTACAGTTTGGCTCCGAGCTTCCCGGAAGCCAAGCCAAAAAACGGGAGCGTGATACAATTCCTAACTCTCATTATGAAGATCGTGAATGTGTTACCAGTTCCTCAAGGAAGAGAGAGCTTCTCACATGGTGTTTTATATGGAGCATATCGAGTGAAGTTAGATCCTCATTAATAATTTTGCAAGAAATGCAGATGTGAATTTCATAAAGTTAGCTTCTTCGGTGATAAAAAGCTGTCCTGTGTTGAACTAAGACATGTAGTTTTCTAGGGGTCTAAATATTCAAAGGTAAAACTTGGACTACCTAGAGAATTTACAATCTGTTGATTTTAATTTAGAATTAAATGTTTGCTTCTCATTTTTAAAATGAAAAGCATGTGACCCTCGAAGAAGGGATAAGAGCAAAAGTGAAAGCAGATTTAGATTTAAATTCTCTGAGGAATAAATGACAGGAATGACTTTGGCTGATTTGATGAGTATGTTTTTCTACTGCCATGCATTAATTAACTAACCGTGTTTTGACTTTCTATTTTTATGGTCAGCTCCTAATCAAAGAGTGTTAAGTACAATCACTGTTATAGATGTACTGAGAAAAGCAGGACGCAGAACAACATCCACTAGTAGTAACTCAGTCTGGAACCTCATCGGCCTTCGGTCAGGGGTTGGTTCACCCATGTTCAGGTGGTAGAATCCTATCCGTAATTGCCAGGAAAGAATATGATAAAACGTGGAGCGGTTTCTTTACTCAGGACTGTCTAAAACCATCTCAAGGATTTGTTGAGTGTAATCAACTTTACCCCTTTGACATGCAAACAATCTACACATGCAGAAAAACAAATTCACAGAAGGAGACAGAAAATGAGAGAGGCTGAGCACAATAAATTTCTACCTTTTTCTCTAAGAACTGGGGATTATCCCCTTACAATATGACTTGTCCAGTCTGGGCTAGATTTGTCCCCTCCTTGTATGATATACCTTTTGCTCTTGGCTTTCTGCCTGTCTCATTCTGTTGCGGATAGGAAGACCTGTTCTTTGTCAGGGCCCTTTTATAATTTGCAAGAGTTATTAATATTTACACCTAAGGATCCTCAAGATTCAGTTGAAAAGCAAACATTCCTGGCTGGTTTTTCTAACTTGGGCACTCTGTAACATGTCAGGTGCTTCTTAGTTCCCTAGAAACCTTGGAGGACCTTGAGGAGGGGTCTCTGCTAGGCTTGTGTTGATGTCTCTGAACTTGGAAGAGGGGTTCTGGAGGTGCTACCCAGCTCTCAGAGGAGAGCATGCCAGCTACTGGTGCTGGTGCTTCTGAGGCTGAGTCTGCCCATGCTGGAGAAACTGCAAACTGGTGTCAGTTGCTGCTGGCAGGAAGCTGTGTTTTCAGCATGACATTCACTGGAATTGGAGGACAAGTCCCTATTTTCTCCTGCTTTCCCATCTCCCTGGAGCACCCTCTATTGAAGGAGCCTTATACGGAACAGCAGGCAAAGCTTAAATGGTCAGCAGAGTCTTGGGGCCAGTATCATAAGGCTAAGTACGGAAGAGTGGGTTTGGAGTTGATATTAGCTTAATATTGCCTCAGCTTGCCAGCCCATCACACATCAAAGCAATTCTTGGAGCAGACCTTGTTTATATGCTTCTTGCTTCTCCATGAAACTTAAACAACTCCTTCAGCACTTGTGGTGAAAGAAAGCCTTGGCATTCTGCGGTCCTGGGACAGGCCTCTCTGAGCATCTATGTTTATATTTCCTTTGAGTCATCAACACAGAAGCATAAAGATTTTTATGGCTTTCTATGTATGTATATTTAAGGAAAATATATAAAGAGAACTGAAAAAGCTGTTTGTTTTCTTTCGTACACCAGGTAGACAGTAATTTTGTGGTTATTATAAACATATAGTTCAAACAGCCTAATTTCTTGAAAAAGGAAAGAAACATTATGCCTCTGATTTTCTACTCAAATAGAATTTTTTAATGCAAATGAAGGCATGAATTAAGCATAAAAATAACCTAATTCCTATCATCGTATTTTTAATGATCCCTAATTAGAGCAAAATTTAAAATGAATACAAGCATATTAGAAACTTTTCTCATATGTCCTTAATTTGTATCTATCACTCATAATGCTAACCCCATTATGCATGATAGCATTAGAGGAAAACACCATTTTACTCACACTGAACCTATTTCTTAAATGCAAACACCTTTCCTAGGTACAGACACAGAGGATACATTCAACAGCTTCATCATGTGACAAAGTTCTTAAGACCTGTGTTATTCTGAGTCTTGTCCTTCTGATTATGTTTTGAAAAGGAGAACATGCCTTAACTAGTTTTCCTAAGGCTCCAAGCCTGAGCTCTTGCTCTGAGAGAGAGAGACAGAGAAAGAGAGAGAGATGGAGTGTTTACTAGCATCATCGTGTCTATACTCAGGCAGAAACAGAGAGGAAATCTAGGTGTCTCAGCATAGTTGTCTGGCATGGATCAAAGAGGTGAAAAATGTTCCTGTCAACTTCAGCTTGTGAATTATTTAAGGTAGTATTTTACTTCCTTTAATTTACAAGGACTGATGGTAAAGAAATCATCACACAGAATTAGGTATAAAAACATTCTGGTTCCTAAATATACAAACAAATATTAACAGTCCCAACTTTGCTGGAATGTGACAGTTTTAAGAAAACATCTCAGTGGAACGTATAAATGTTGTAGAGGAGCTTTAAAATGGTTTAGTTCCAAAAGAATTGTGATTCCATAAAGCCTGGACTGAAACTACTTTAATTGCTGGGTTTTTGGGAAATTGTTCCCATTTTGTTCTTCTCATCTGATACAGAAAATAATGAGGTGAGGCCTCAATCCCACCAGCTGCAGATGGTGGGGACCCTCAGGACTAAGCCAAAGGCAGGCAATGTCTCAGACAGTGTCAGCAACAGCAGCTGTTAGTGAATCAAGGAAACATTGGAGGACTCTGTATGACAAAAGTTATTACTAAATTTTGGAGACGAAGCGAATAAAATATCTGATTTCAAGCAAGATAAGCATTCCTTCAAGACTGGAAAAAAAAATAACTATTGTTTCGAATGTAGCATGTATTTCGTCCTGGTGCTGGTATGGGCTGGGCTGAATCTGATGGGTGAAAGAAGCAGTGACAGATTGAGCCAGCTCATTACTTTTATCACCTTGTAATATTTACAGGAGGCAAATATGACAATATTTAAATAATAATACTCACAGACACCCCACTACCCCACCGATTGATAATGCCCCTGGCTGTCGTTTCAGGCAGTGGGCTTTGTCAACTAAGTTTTGTTCCCCAAAGCATGGTCCCAGAGCAGTAGCATCTGCATCACCTGGAAGTCTGTTAGAGATGCAGAATCTTAGCCCCTCCACCCCAGACCCACCAAATCATAGTCTGCATTTTTAACAAGTTCCCTATGTGACTTCTGTGCCCATGAGGATTAGAGATACATGTCCAAATTATCCTCCCCAGTATAACTGGCTGCCCCATGCTGCAGACGTCCATGTATCCCCCATACCGTTTTGCATCTAACATTTTTTTCCCCAGTTTTATTGAGATATAATTGACATATAATGCTGTGTAAGTTTAAGATGTACAATGTGATGATTTGATACATATATATATTGTGAAATTATTACCACAATAGGGTTAGTTAACACATCCATCACCTCACATAGTTACCAGAAAAATATGGAACACTTCATGAATTAATATGTTATCCTTGTGCAGGGCCATGTTAATCTTCCCTGTATTGTTCCAATTTTAGTATATGTGCTATTAAAGTGAGCACACTGCTTCCAATTTAAGCCCACTTCCCGCTTCCTTCCAATTCTCTAAATGCCACGTGAGTTCTTCACTGGCCTTCACTTTAATTTTCCCTGTCTCTTTTCCCATTAGATAAAATAATAAGGTAGAAAGGAAAGAAAGGCAGAAGAGGGGAAAGAGAGAAGGAAGAAAAGAAAAAAGAAAGAAGGTGAGAAGAAAGAAAAACTGGGAAGGGAGATAGGCAAAGGGGAGAGAGAACTACTGCGCCTGTGCCATAGTATTGCTGGAGGTCATGACTTCATGTCAGGTACACACAAACATATCCCATTCACTATTTCCATTCTTAAAATGAAGCAGTTAGTTTCATATGGTGTTGAAGAGAGTGTTGATTGCTATAATAATTTGGAGGGCGATTAGGCAATGTCTGTTCAAATTTTTTTTAATGAACATTTTTTTTGATCCAGCAATTTCAGAATTTTCACCACAGAAATACTTGCACAAATACACAAAAATATATATCAAAGGTGTCTATTGCAAGATCATTTAAATAGCAAAAAGCTGTAAATAGCCTAGAAATATCAATAAGAGTTGTTTTGAAAAATCAACATATAACTCTGCAGTGGAATACTATCCTGGCATTGAAAAGAATTGAGGAAGATGCGTGTGTGCTTATGTGATGAGCTCTCTAGATCATATTGTCAACGGAGAAAAGGAAAGTGTAGAATGATGGGCAAAATCTAATTCCGTTTGTATTATTTTTTAGTGTGTGTACATGTGTGTATTTATGAAGCATAATTAATAACTTACTATATTTATATCCTACAGAATATTCTGTAGCCATTACAAACAGAGTTTTGGCAGAATTTTGAATAACTTGGGACATTTTTGTGATATAATGCAGAGTTTTAAAAAAAGCAAAACATTAGTGTCATGGTTTTTCTCCTTCACCTTTCTTGAGCATTTTCCAATGTTATTCAATTTTCCAAAAAATATCATTAATTTCTCGAAACTATAATTTACTCTTGGGTTCTTAGGTTGTTTGCAATTTTTCAACTCATATATAATGTTGACATAAACTTTTTTTTTACCTAATATTTTCAAATCTCAGACTCTTCTAAGATAAATTTCTTATAATCACTGGTTCATTGGATGTGACCTTTTATTATAATTACTCGTTCATAGGATATAATATTTGATATTTATTTGCAAATTGGTTTCCATGATCTCCAAAGATTTTTAAAGAAATATCTTCAATTTTTGTTACCGTGATTGGCTATTAAAAGTCCTCGTTTATTCAACAAATTTTAAAATTTGAGGTAAAACAGTTCTTAATGCCTACTGTGCACCAAGCTTCCTAAAAGGCAGTGGGCACATCATTAAAATAAGACATGATTTCTCCTGAAAGTGTGACCCGGGGCCATCACGCTTAAACAGGGAATTACACCGCGATACGGCCACCATCGAGTTATGTCCAGAGAGCCAAGAACACAGCACGCCTAGAGGGTGGCTGTGATAATTAACCAAGGAAGGCGCTAGCTCCTTATACTTCACTTTGACGTTTCTTCTACGTTTCATCTAAAGAGTGGTGTTAACTCAGTGATGGGGAAAAACCTTCTTACTCTTATCAGACTTTAAGTATGAACTGCACGTGACTGTAACAAAGTAGAAAAGAAACTCGCCCTAGTTTGTGTGTCAGGGTCTAGTGTCATTTATATAATTGACAGATTCGGAAGGTGATAAGCCTCCTTCAAGGACACATACATTTATCCTAAATCTCTACCCAAACTTGACCTTCGAATACCCCATTTCTCTCTGCCTGCTTAGAATAGAAAGATTTTATTCTATAGAAAGGTTATGTGGACTTCGAAGCATTTGATCGACTTCCAAAAAAATATTTTCCAAGGAGAAGGGACAACTCAGCCTCTACAAGTAGCACTTTCAACTCTCTTAATATTTCTTAGGTCAAAAAATTCTAGACTCCTAAAAATAACAAATGAACAGGACAAACAAACAGAGACCCATGGACATGGACAATAGACTAGTGGTTACCAGAGGGTGAGGAGGAGGTAGATGGGGTAAAGGGGGTCAAATATACAGTGACAGAAAGAAATCTAACTATGGGAGGTGAACACACAGTGTATATATGCCTTACTGTTAAAGTGTACAGCTGAAACTTATTGGATTTCGTTAACCAATGTCACCATAAAACAAACAAATAAACAAACAAATATAACCAAAATACTTGGGTCATGGACAACTCATATCAGATTGTATGGCTCAAATTGAAATGGAGAATAAATATAAGGTAAAAAAAAAATTCTAAACTGAAATATTCTAATAAGGTTGACTAAAAGAAATTACCAATATTTGACATTTGTTAAACTTGTAAAAGTGGCAGTTTCATATGGTTAAACTAAAACCTGGGATTGAATTTGTTCTGTTTCTTTGCAAGGAAATCCCAAGTACACCCTATATCAGACCTAACTGAAACTTCATTTCACACCAAATGACTTCTACAATATCTGCCCCACCTACAAAGAAAAGAAGAGAAAAATTATTAACACAGCTTATGCTTGGTTATTCTAGTCAGATCATTGGTTATTCACTTTCTAGTCAGATCATTGGTGAGATAAAATTGGACTAAAGTAT